TAATTCTAAAAAATCCAATGGTAATTTAAATTAATAATTATTATGTACATTTGGGCATGTTATATTTATACACGATGAGATTTGATTTTTTTTTATACAATCATCTTAAACTATTTATAACACTTTGAACCCTTAAATTAATTATATACACAAATTTTTCCTAAAAATATATATGCTTGAGTGAAGCTAGAGATTTTTTAAAAGGTCAAATTTAAAGATAAGTCTATAATAAATGTCATACACTATATACACTAGGAATGTTATATATTAATATGCACCACTACTATTTTTTTTACATATTTTAAAAACTTGAAGAACCTAAAGTGTAATTAACCCTATTTGAAATTAAGTTTAAATCATGAAGATTTCAACTCCCGTCCCTCTTTTTCATCCTTTATTTTATTATAAAATACTGTTTTATATTAAAATAATAATAAACGATTTCAGTTGGAATAAAATTGAAATTATTATTTTGATTTAATAATATTATAAAGTTGAGTAAAATACATGACTGATCACTTTCATATAAATTTTGAGCACTTTTCTTTAATGAATTCTAAAAACATAATATTGATCATTTTTATTTTTATTTAATTAAGATGCGATCACTAAGAACTGCATGTAGTTAGACTTTTAAAGGATTGCTAACATAACACAGTGAATTTATAAAATTAAAAAAGATGAACTACACAAATGGTCACTAATGTTTGAATAAGTTTTCATTTTCTCTACTAATGTTTCAAAAGTAACAAATAGGTCACTAAAACATCAAATAGGTCACTAAAACAATGATTTTAAATCTAATTTATCCCAAAAGCTTTATAACAGTTACACTTTTGTCTCAATAAAAGCTGAAAGATTAAAGCAAGCCTGGACAAGGGATAAATGGCTCACTATCTGTCTATCTTTCCTAACAAATGCAGAACCAAGCGACGCAGGCTTTCATGGTTTGAAGGCCGAAAACGCCACCACAGAGTTGTGTCCACCAAATCCGAATGAATTTGAAATTGCTGAGAATCATAACGAACTTGGTTAGAATTATGGGGTTCTGGTACAAATCAAACTAAAACTTAAACAGGAACTTGTCATGTAGTTTTGAAAGAATCAAGTATTCATGGGGCTTACCAACATTAACCTCGTGCTGCTGCTTTTCGTTGGCAACGGTGTCAAAATCAACTGAAGGCTCTGGATTCTACATTAAAAATTTAGCACTTCAACCATTAACGAAATACATACAATATAAAAGGTGCATTAAACAAGCAACTAGAACGTACAAATTGATTTATCGAGGGATGCAGCCATCCTGTCGTGATGGCCTTCACAGTGGCAATGGCTTCTAAACCACCTGCTGCACCCAGACAATGCCCTATCATTGACTGAAACAAGAAAAGCAATTAGCCAATTGCAAGAGAGCAACATTAGAGTAGAGTCCTGTCAAAACTTTGCAAAATGAGGGGGAGAAATAGAAATTACCTCTTTTCATTGCATGTTCCAAGCTTTCCATTACCTGGAAAGCAAAAGAAAAAATAACTCGTTACAAAAGGATATTGTATTTCCACTCTCATCAACATCAGTTGATGGAATATAACTCTAAAAAGCCAGCTATGTAACAACTGAACCAAAGATCAGTGTGCAAAAACAAAGAGCCATTACTGCAAGACCATGCCTGATTTAAGTAGTTCAATGTGATGAAAGATAGAAAAGTATGCAAGTATAACTGGAAATCCTTTCCTCAGTTAACATTTATACTTCATTACTAATGAACAGAAAAATAATGAGTAAGAAAGTCATCGTAAATAGTGAATTAGGCTCATCAGTCATCACTTCATCATCTACAAACAGAAAACTACAACAGCAAATTATCATAAAGGAAATGGTCAGTATCTCATTGAGAACACAACACCTGAGAGCCAGGCTCCGTCAAAGATAATGAAAACTTCTCTTAACAACAATATCACATGTCACCAATGGAGGCAAACCAAGATGATAAATTGCTAACCAGAAATAGACAACAGAACAACCAACAAGAAGATAAATCATGCGCATATAGGATTAGAATGCTATGTTAATAAATGCATGCTTACCAATACTCCAGCACCTTCACCCATGAAAAAGCCATCTCGATCTTTGTCCCATGGCCTTGATGCAGTTCGAGGATCATCATTTCTTTGAGACAATGCCCTACAGGCAACAAAACCTCCCAGACCAATAGGAATAATTGCAGCCTCGGTTCCACCAGCAATCATCAATGCAGCCTCACCTCGATGGATGTGGTTAGCAGCAGCATAAAAGCAGTAATTGGAGGTAGCACAAGCAGTTGAAATTGAATAATTCGGACCCATGAAACCAAGTTCAATTCCAAGCAAGGCAGATGCCATGTTTGTTATAGAATAAGGAATGAAGAATGGTGTTATTTTTCTATAACCTTTCTCTATCAGATTTTGAACTCCATCAGAGAACACTGTAAGACCACCCATACCGGTTCCAACAAGCACTCCAGTTCGTTCCGTATCGATCTAAGACAAATACAAATTCTTTAGCATCAACGGAGAATATATGACAAATATACAAGCTTAAAAGAGGTAGAATAACAAATATGATATCCTCTGCTACTTACATAATTCAAAGAATAGATATCTATTGTTCTTGCATCTTTCAGTCTATAAGGTAAGAAATCATCCAAAGGGATCCTAAACTTAATCAGTAATTTTGACATTCTATACACCTTTTCCAAGGCATATTTCTGGTGGATGCATCATTAGTAGTCTTATGAATAATTGCTTTCAAATATAAGATCACATTAACATTGTTGAAATTGTTCCAATGAAGATGCTCTAAAGCAAATGTAAAGGATAACTCGATTATCCAATATATACAGATTCTCTATATGAAAGCTACATCAAATTAGGGACAAAAAGGCTATGAACTTGAATGAAATATAGACATCAAAAGACATTCTCAACAGAGAAATTGAACAAAATAATTCTTATGAGCACATTACTTAAATCACAATATGAATTGAGTCAGAAACTATATATTACAACAAAGATTGCTAGCAACGGATAAGGAAAAGGCAGAAAACGACCAGAATACACACACAAAGCAATCCAGTTGCTTAACAAAATAACGACAAAAGTTGCACATACAAACATTTATCGATTCAAACAACACAATAATGAAAAAATTGCATCAAGCAAACATGCAGTGACGAGCAGAGAAAAGTATCAAGATTTGTAGAATCAAACAATAGTTCATAAGTTTAAAACCAAATAAAGAAACAACTCTTTCTTGTAAATGTCGCACGTTGTGTAAGCCAATAAAAGAATTATCTATGGATCTACAAGTAAAGAAAAAACACGCTAATCACTATGAGAACAACCCGATTAATAAAACCTAGTAACCAAAAACCACTAAAGAAGAAGAAAAAAGAACTAACTTTAGATAAGTTATCGCCCCCGAGATCAGCATCTTCCAACGCCTTCTTGCCAGCAACAATGCAGTACCTCAAACAATCGTCAAGCCTCCTATCGTTCTTTCCATCGATGTAACCTTCAGAACTGAACCCCCGGATCTGACCGGTGAACCGAGTAGGAAACTTGGAAGCATCAAAACGATCGATGAGTCCGATTCCGCTCTCTCCAGCCTGCAGCTTATCATAATAAGCATCCACATCGTTCCCGAAAACAGAAACCAACCCCATGCCCGTAATAGCAACCCGTTTCTTGGGGTCCTTCTCGCGCTAGGGAGCAGAAATGGTGGGGGATGAAGCGGTGATGGAAGAGAATTTCTTGGTTGGCCTGGGAGGGAGTCTTGATACATTGGGGAAATGGGGTTTGGGTTTGGGGTTTTGGAGAGGATTTAGAGAGGAAGCTCGAAGAGATGAAGATTGAAGAGATTGCATGGTTGATCGGGGGAAGCTGAAGGCTGAAGGCGATGGCGATAATAACAAAGTGAAGATTGAACAGACTATGAAACACGACGTCTGTATATAGCTATATATATGGTTTACAGAATCTGAAATTCTTGGAGTTGGAGGGGGCGTTTAGCTGCACTAAACAGCCAGCTACGCTGAGTCTGCTGAACGTGGGATTCAATTTTCTTCGTTGGATGGACTAATGGTGGATCTATAAGAAAATGATTTTTCAGTGACGTTAAGAATTATTACTAAAATTATCAAATTTAGTTACCAAAATTCATAATGAATATTTGTTAAACGTCACAAGTAATTTTATCACTATCATATTTATGGCAATTTTCATGAATATCGTATGACATATTTGATAAAAAAAAGTATAATTTTGATAATTATTCATTTTAATTTTAATTTTAATTTTAATTTTAAGTTTAAATTTTTATTTGTAATAAAAAAATAATAGGTCATGATCATAGGTGACACCGACTTGTCAAAGTAAGTTCTCTTTGAGTACATTTACGTTTAATGGAATTATTTGCACAAAAACAAATTAGCCAGCCTTGACATCCTATATTAATTTAAGTCGTGCGTTTTGGTGAACTTGTTCCAATATTTTTGGTTATTGCCACTACGCTTAAAGGATTTTCTCTACTTTGCTAGGGGTGCAGAAGTTAGTAGCACGTGTATTTTGGATTTTGCATAGTATGATTATAGGGTCTCTCCTGACTCAATTTGTTTCATTTGTAAACTCTAACGAATTCATGATCTTATTTAAGGAATATAGTGTTTCGTCCCAATAGATCAGCTAATTATTTTTTAATCTCCAAAGAAAGTCTACATATTTGCGGAACATCTGCAACAGATGAGTGTTGGTTATATTGTTTAAAATTCCCATTGCAGGAAAGTGATGAAGGTGATTCGGACTTTGATGAATAAACCTTAAGGCTTCTTATATCTGGAAATTAATTTTTCCAGTAGGAATAGATGCAGTGGTTATGCCTTTTAACATGCCTGCATCATTGTTCAAGAGGCATAGTAGTTCATATGACCATTGTTCAAGATATGTTGCTAATTTAAATCTGTTTTTATTAGAGAAATTAGGATCAAATTCTATTCAAGAACAAACCACCATCTACTTGCATATTTTGATTTCAGATATTTGAATTTTAGCAACTGTGACTACTGAGTTATTTATGATTCAAGCTTGTTTGACAGCAATGTTCGACAACAGCAGCAATGAAGACGAAGCTTCAATCTCGCTAACACGCCCTCTGATATTCTCACAAAGCTCCTCCATTGATTCCTTCATCTCCAAAAGCTCATTCGGGTTGAGTTCATTAATAGGGTTTTGGTGCTTGAGTTTCCGGCGACTCACCCTGATCGCCTCGATGAGCACCTCTTCTCGCTTCGACTCCGCCTGCAGCCGCTTGAGAATGGTGTTGAGTTGTCGACTGAGCCTTCCAACTTCAGCCTCTCGCTGAGACTGACCAACAACATGAACCGGAATAGAAACTTTCATCTTCCCATCCTGATTTAGAAAGCGGTCCGTAACCGCCTTGACGCTCGGGTTCCCGAACGAGAAAGGCTTGCCACCGGGGGAGAAAACCACGATGGAGACTTCAGCGGCGCAAAGGGTAGCAAGCTCGTTCGCTTTCTTGAAGAGCCCAGTTCGGCGCTTGGAGAAAGTGACTTGTCTGGAGCTGCAATCCTTCACCATTTTCATCTCGATTTTTCTCCGGCCCATGATTTCTTTGTCAGAAATATTTCCAATGCATTAGCTTGGCTCAATGGATCAACATTTATAAGGACAAATCAGGGGAAAACTGCAGGCCACTTGAATTGGAAATGTTTCTAATTTATTTGCTACTGCTAAATAGTCTAATTAATCATTCAAATTTTTTAACATATATTATCTTATAATCACCCACCTTTGGTTGATTTTCAAAATTAACCAAGATTTCACTGATAATACATTAAAATCAATTTTTTCTTAAGTTGCCTTATTTGTAAAACTTTGATGATTTGAACGAGAAATTTAGCTTTAAAAGAAAAATTAAAAAAAAAACATTGTACCTAACTAATTTCTAAAAATGAAAAGGTGAGTAATTAATTGGCACAGAACAACTTGCTATATTATGATTTAATTTATATGTCAATGAATCGTATTTAGTAAACCACAACCATCTTTCTATTTTAAAAGTTAAATCTACCAAACTCCTTTCCTACGAATGAAAAATTCATAAAATTTCTATTTAGGCCATATTCCCTATGTTTTAAAAACTGTGAGGTTTGATTTAAAAAAAAAATCATTAACCACTTAATTTTATTTATTAATTGAATTTTAGATAATAATAATAATAATAAAACAGAGTATGCTTTGATTCTAATAAACGACTAAACAACAAAAGATATTATATCTAAACATCAAATATCTTTGATTTACTTTGAAGTTAGCCTCAATAGTAAATATGAAGAACCAAATTAAGTATAAGTCAAAACATTCAACAACCTTTTAAATAATTGAAACCATTATACAACTATCATTAAACAATTTCAAGTCTTATGCTGTTGATTTTTTTCTCTTGGCAAGAGTAAGTTTATTATTGATAAATTAAGCAAGGTAAACCTAGATTGTATGCCTCATTAAAAATCTCTCTAAATATCGATAGAGGAAAAGAGTACATACAATCAGATGAAAACCAAACAAATCCCCAACACGAGGTAGTTCTGGAATACAAATAAAATCAACTACAACACCTCATAGGTATCACACCTCGGCTCATGGAACCAGCAAACAAACTCGAGCCATAAACACAAAATAACAAAGCACAACAAATCACAAAAACAACAAAACAAGACACCTAATCACCAGTATACAATCACGATTTCAGTGAGCCACATAAAAAACCTTACCACCTTGCTTTGAAAACTTCTTGTCTCTTCATACTTGCTATCGCAAGATTATTAGCCATGTCGTTTTGGGAGCGAGGCACAAAACAAAATTTAACTCCTCCAATGGCACCAGATAATCTGTCAATCTCATCAAAGTCATTCCCCCAGGACCAAGGTCGAAGTAAGTGTTAAAAGTCAAGCCTACAATTATTGAAAGTTAAAGAAACTTTCGGTGGCAGCAACAATTGTTCAATAATTGCTTTCTGTGGCAGCAACAATTGTTGAATTTGGAAAATGGTTAAATCATAATTTAGTCATTATAATTTAGGGTATTTACAAATTAGTCCTTAAGCTTCAACTATAAATACCTTAACTCATTTAGCTTTAAAACCATCCCAAATCATTCTAGCTTTCTCCCAATACTAGAGAATTTAGAGAGTTTTTTTAGAGTTGTTTTCTTCTTTTTTTTTATCAAGAGAGAATTATCATTATTTTCTCCTTGGTAGATCGAGAGAGGTTGTAATTCCTATTTTCTCATAGTGAAATTCTTCTACCGTTGCCCGTTGTTTTTACCCTATATCATAATTTAGTCATTATAATTTAGGGTATTTACAAATTAGTCCTTAAGCTTCAACTATAAATACCTTAACTCATTTAGCTTTAAAACCATCCCAAATCATTCTAGCTTTCTCCCAATACTAGAGAATTTAGAGAGTTTTTTAGAGTTGTTTTCTCTTTTTTTTTATCAAGAGAGAATTATCATTATTTTCTCCTTGGTAGATCGAGAGAGGTTGTAATTCCTATTTTCTCATAGTGAAATTCTTGTACCGTTGCCCGTTGTTTTTACCCTATATTATTTAGGGGTATTCCACGTAAATTGTGTGTCTTCTTTATATTTATTTTTTATTTTCTCAAATTATCAGTTACGATTTTACTTTATCCGATAGCCGTCTTCCGCAACAATTGGTATCAGAGCCAAATTTGAGTGTGTAATATATGCTTATTGTCTTTGTGGTTGCCACCAAAAGGTGGATTCTCCAACATAAGAAAGTAAGAAGGTATTACCCATTCTTTGAAGATTTCAGAGAACTATTCATGATAGTGAAATATTGGGAGCTATCCGTAATAGAAGCTATGACAACGAAATTTGATATTGAAAAGTTCAATGGGAGAAATTTCTCATTGTGGAAATTGAAGATGAATGTTATCCTGAGGAAAGATGGTTGTCTAGAAGGTATCAGTGAAAGACCGATAGATTTCACAGATGATAACAAATGAATCGAAATGGATGAGAATGCTATGACAAACTTTCATCTAACATTAGCAGATGAAGTTTTTTCAAGCATCGATGAGAAGAAGACAACTAAGGAGATATGAGATCATCTCACCAAATTGTACGAGACCACATCGTTGCATAATAAAATTTTCCTTAAGAGAAAATTGTACACTCTCCGTATGCCAGAATCTACTTCAGTGACGGAGCACTTAAACACGCTGAACACTTTATTTTTTCAGCTTACATCCCTAAGATGTATAATAGAAGAACAAGAACGTGTTGAACTTCTATTTCAAAGTCTACCTGATTCGTATGATCAACTCATCATCAACTTGACAAACAGTAATGTCACCAGTCTAGTCTTCGATGACGTTGCAGCTGCTGTTCTACAAGAAGAAAATCGGCACAAGAACAAGGAAGACAGACAAGTAAATCTGCAACAAGTAGAAGCGTTGACAACGATGAGATGCAGATCAACGAAACGTGGCTAAAGCAGCAGTCACAAACATGGTAGATCAAAGTTGAGAAGCAAGAATAATTTAAAGTGCTACAACTGTGGAAAGAATGGTCACTTGAAGAAGGATTTGTGTATAGTTGCAATGATCATGCCTTAGAGATAATTGGCGTGAGAACCATCAAATTGAAGATGTATGATGGAACAATTAAAGTTGTTTGAGATGTGCGGCATGTGAAAGGCTTGAAGAAAAATTTATTATCCAACAGATTATTGGATAATAATGCAAGCAAAATTGAAACACGAAAAAGAATCATGAAGGTGTTCCGTGGAGCGTTTGTGGTGCTGAAAGGCGAAAAGATAGCTGCAAACTTGTATATGTTGAAGGGAGATACTTTGGTAGAAACAGAAGCCTCTGTTGTCTCATGTAGTTCAGATTCTGCAATGCTATGGCATCATAAACTTAAACACATGTCAGAACAAGGAATAGAAGTCCTTGTGGAGCAAAAGCTACTTCTAGGCTTAACAAATGTATCACTTACTTTGTGTGAGCATTGCATAACAAGTAAGCAGCACCGGTTGAAATTCAACACATCAAATTCTAGAGGCAAAAGTGTTCTAGAATTGGTTCACTCTGACGTATGGCAAACACCAGTTATATCCCTAGGCGGAGCAAAATATTTTGTCTCATTTATTGATGACTACTCCAGGAGACGTTGGGTGTACCCTATTAAAAAGAAGTCAGATGTGTTTTCCACTTTCAAAAACTTCAAAGCGCTGGTGGAACTTGATTATAGAAATAAGATCAAGTGTTTCAGAACAGATAATGAAGGAGAATACACAAGTGAAGAATTTGATGACTTTTATAAGAAAGAAGACATCAAAAGACAGTTCACAGTGGCAAACACTCCTCAACAAAATGGAGTGGCAGAGCGGATGAACAGAACCTTGTTAGAAAGAACAAGAGCAATGTTGAGAGATGCAGGCCTAGAAAAATCATTTTGGGCAGAAGCAGTCAATACCGCCTGTTATTTGGTGAATCGAGCTCTATCAACTGCAATAGAGCTGAAGACACCAATGGAGATGTGGACTGGTAAACCAACTGATTATTCAAACCTCTATATATTTGGAAGTATTGTGTACGTGATGTACAACTCCCAAGAAATCTCAAAGCTAGATCCAAAATCCATGAAATGCAAATTCTTGGGGTATGCTGATAGAGTCAAGGGGTATCGCTTGTGGGATCCCACTGCCCGCAAAGTGATCATCAGCAGGGATGTTATCTTTGTAGAAGATAAAATACAAAGAAAAGTAGATGATGATAGCGCTGAAAAGTCAGAGACTACACAGATACATGTGGAAAAGGAGTTTGAACAGAGATATTCTTCTGAAGTAGAACCAGCAAATGATGAACAAGAACCAGAGAGTTCTGAAGCTCCAACAACTCGTCAATCAGATCGTGTGAGAAGACGTCCCAATTGGCACTCAGATTATGTTATAAAAGGTAATATTTCATACTTCCTTTTAACATAGGACAGTGAGCCATCAACATACCAGGAGGCAATAAACAACTCAGATGTTTCACTGTGGATGATGGCAATGCAAGAAGAAATTGAAGCCCTTCATAAAAATAATACATGGGACCTTGTATCACTACCACAAGGAAAGAAGCCAATTGGTAACAAATGGGTCTTCAAAATCAAGCGAAATGGTGACGATCAAGTGGAGAGGTATCGTGCAAGACTGGTAGTCAAAGGATATGCTCAAAAAGAAGGCAATGATTTCAATGAAATCTTTTCTCCTGTGGTTCGACTAACAACAGTTCAAGTAGTCTTGGCAATGTCTGCTACATTGAACTTACATCTAGACCGGCTAGATGTTAAAACAACTTTTCTTCATGGAAATCTTAAAGAAGATATTTACATGCTCCAGCCTGAAGGTTTTGAAGAAAAAGAAAAGAATAACTTGGTTTGCAGGTTGAACAAATCTCTGTACGGTCTAAAGCAGGCGCCAAGGTATTAGTATAAGAGATTTGATTCCTTCATTATGTGTCTTGGATACAACAGACTTAATGCAGACCCTTGTGCTTATTTCAAGAGGTTTGGTGATAACGATTTTGTTATATTGCTGTTGTTTGTGGATGACATGTTGGTTGCAGGACCCAACAAAGATCATATTAAAGAATTGAAGGCACAACTGGCTAGGGAATTTGAAATGAAGGACTTGAGATCAGCAAACAAGATTCTAG